GAAGCATTTTCTGCTGGGTCATAAACTGCAAATCACAAGCATTTAAAAGTTTATGAATTAGGTTTTTTCCAGTGGTTGCACATTTTCAGTTAAGTAAAGAAATTTAAGGCCGACAAAGCTCACTTAAGTTGAAACAGTCTGGCTCGGTTTTATGCAATGTTCGCGAGCATAGCGGGTAGCATAGTGCGTACATCAAGTTAAAAATAAACTGGCATGACTCAGTAAAATAGACAATGGATCACACTTTATATAAGTGCTCGAAACTTATCTTTGTAGATCGATCATCCATGCAATACCCAAGAAATAATTTCAAACCTCTCTAAAAAGACAGGGATTTGGACACTACAATACGAATTAGATCAATTTTCAAAATTTCTCAATTAATTTATTGATTAGTTCTAACCTTTTTTCCGAATTTTTTGCAAATTCAGTAACTTTTATTTAAGCTCTCTTTTCGAAAGATTCTCCGCGGTCAATTTAGGTACCAAATGTTTACCCCCTTGAAATCAGTTTTTGTAGTCGACTATTATGGTAAAGGACTATGAAATTAAGACCCCACTAAAAGTTTGTATATTACTTTGACTTCAAAGACGCAGCTGCAATATCTGGAAATCGTCTTTTTCCTTTATATTGATTTCTCACTCGCGATTGGCTCACGATTGATATTTGTTATGAAATGTTATAAAAAAAAATATGGTTGCGGTTCGTCGTCTTTGTGAATGCCGCACTGCTAATGAAGCCCTGTCGTTCCGTTGACGATGTATTCACTTCCGATTTGGATAGCGACGTTTTGACTGGATACCACGGTTCTTCTTCAAGCGAAACGACGGCGACTGGTCAAGCGACACCAAACCATGGAAGTCAAGTTGATGATTCATGATACTTTAACGAGTGACGTGCAACCTAAGCGTGCCGATATTGAAATCAACTACATCGTGAAACAAGCGATATACTTCAAATTTCATTATGATATTAAACTGATATTTTTTAGTTGTTGAAATGTTTAAAGAAATTTGTGGAAAAGCGACTCAAATTATAATGCTATCCCGGTTTCAATAAATTTCCCCTGGAATCCTAAAGTGAGAATAGCGGTTAACTTCTCAGCAATTTTCATAAACTCAATTTTAAAAAGGTTTGGGAAGCTTTAGCTTTAGGTTGATCCTTGAAAGTTGGAAAAATATATAGAACCTCAACTTATCATTTTATTTTTCTTTTCTTAGTTCTCGTCGCGTGTGACTTGGTCGACTCGGATTTAGTGTCACGAACGGGTACCGATGCGTGAAGTAACTGATATCGATCAATGGACAATTTGGTCATCTTGAAACTATACTTCAAGTTTGAAAGTTTTATGAGTGACACCTTGCTCCGTTCTTTATTATGCTCCACGTTTTTCTGCCTATAGTTTTAATTCTAAACTACGGTGCTTTTCACTTAAAGTAACTTCTGATAATCGTTTTCATGTTTAAAATTGCGAAATAGTTTCTTGCCGGACGCCTGCCGGTAGCTTCTAAATTATATACAGCAGTGTCACGATTTCAAGCGATGATATATTTTGCCCTGAGGCAAAACTTTTATGTCCACATATTAGATTCCTACTTCCAAAAATTAATGTAAAAAGCTGACATTTCCATTTTTTTCCAAGCTAAGTGTTAGTTTGTTATTTCTCGTGTTTACTTTGAAATCAGTCTGAGTCTGTAAAAAACGACATTTCACATTTCTGTATGACTAGCTTTTAATTCCAGCTCAGTTCCCCACAAAAAAGGAGACGAAATTCCTAGGCAAAGGATTTTTTTTTAATTTATACGATTTCGATCAACTGAGTAAGGAACTTTCCAAAACACAAAATGGCATATATAGATCCTACATGTATTTGGGAAGAACTCTTTTTAAATTATCACTATCACATATACATATATATATATATATATGCTTTTCACTCAAAAACTCAAGATCATACAAATATTGTTACAATATCCCTTTTCATACGAATAAGGTCGAAGGTCGCTAAACATTCAGCGATTTTTTCAATGCTCAATTAAAGCTGTTGCACAGTCACTCATCGATTGAGATTTTCAAATAAAGCTAAGGTTCTAAATTATAGTAAATGTCGACTGATCCAAAATGTTTACAAACGAGTAAGTTTCTTAAGTATTATGCTGTGAGATTAAAAAGGAGATGGTCACGGTTGTGAAAGCCTTTAAAAAGGGGCAATAGATTAAAGCTACTCTGACGGCAAAACTGCTGAGTCAAGTCTAGCAAGCAGTTTCGGAATCTATTCCCTTTTTTCTTCTCAAACAGGAATACCATCAGTTTAAAAGGTATGCTTGCGCTTATTATGAAAACTGATTACCGCTACTTCTAGTTATAAAAATAATCTGTTGACTGATCTAATCTTCTTGCCAATCTTTACTCCGAAGTATTACATTGTAACCGAAAAATGCTTTGAGGAAGAGCTGTTAAGCTTTAAGTGTGAAAACCAATGTTTAATTTTGTTATCTCTCCGTTTTTTCAAGAGAAAAGAATTTTACATCATTTAGTTTTATCCATCCATCCTTTATGTTGCATCGTTTGAACTTGGAAGACGTGAATATTCAGAACCTTAACTATGGGAAAAAAATATTGTGGTTTGAGTTTCTGAGTTAATATCACGGATAAAGTAATTTCTAAACCACTGATAGCTCTAAACCCTACATCGGCATCACAAATCTCACCAGAAGCCTTAATTTTTCCCATTAGTACTCTCACGAGAATTTAGGTTTGCACAAAGACGATTAGAGCTCTCTTTTTCAGTTTGGACAAATCAGTGCTTTTCTTTCCTGAAGATTGACTAGAGAAGACGATACAATGTATGATAAGTAATCATGGAAATACAGTTATAGCTAGCGTGCTATTAACACTTTGTTTGCTCTAAGTAATTCTTGTTGCTATTTGTAAAGCGAAAAAAGGGTTTGTTAAAGGAATTTTACGATTATTTTATCATCTTATAACTAGACAAATTAGCTTCAATATATATTTAGGAACATACCTTCTCCGTCTGCCGAAACAACAAAAAGCAATCCAAACAATGTAAAAACCTTCACAGAGAGCGAAAATTTCTTGATGGAATACATCGTTGCCTTCAGAGGACAGTGAAAGCTCTGTCATTGCAAGGGTCACTACTCCAGTTATAAACATGTCATTAATTAATGCAAATCCGGGACAATTACCCCATTGATTGTCTACAGAAGCATGCAACACTACTTGGCTAGAAATATATGGAAGTTGTTAAAGAGTGTTTCTTCAAACTAAAAGTTAAATCCTTGACAAAGATATTATCATTTTTGGCAAAAATACATCTCTCACTGGATAAAAGTTGGGTTTAAGTGCAAATGTTTTGTGCTCGTGGTTTAGACAAAAGCACTTAGTGTGCCAGTATATTTGGTGTTGCCATAGATATCGAACCACAACGTCATTTTGATATCGATGGCTAATACTTTGAAACCAAAAAAAGCGAAAAGTGATTAAGACATTTTTATTGGTTTGTTTAATTTTTGTTCAATTATCTTTTGTGGGCCCATGACCCTCTTGAGTCTGACGTTTACCACGTAAGAGGCCTCCTCTGCTAACAAGGGTGACTACAAGAAAGAAAATTGCAACTGGCAGTTTATTGCTATACATTATGAGATCCGTTGTGTATCGTGAGAATTTTAAAAGAGGTCAATAAGGACTGATTTTGTTTAACTCACAGTCCGTTAAGCGCAAAGGATTATCATAATCTTTATAGTAATGGTAAGAGCCATCGGATATTGCATACATCGCCCGCCAAGCAGGGAGCAGCGCAGCCTACCATTGTTGAAAACAATAAAGCAAATAAATCACTCATAATAAATGAGAAAGTGAAACAAGTATGTTAAGTAACTCAGACACGCAAAACATTCCTGTTCATCAAATAAGTTCTCGACGGTTACTGACACAAGAAAAGTATTGCAACTACTCGAAATAAAAAGTTTAACATAGAGATGCAGAAGTATTTTCAAGGCGTACCTAGTTTTGGTGGATTAGCTATAAATGACAGCTATTTACTTAATACTGCCCGAAGAAGCTTTAGACAATTTGTACTCTTTGGAATTGAAGGTCGTTTAAAGTCTGTTTGATAATTGACCAAGCCCCAGGTCTCTACAACCTTAGTCGTCAACGTTGCCTCGTTCCAATTTTTACAACTCCATAATTTTTCGTTATGAATAATCAAGTACCAAACCTCGCCACGATAACGAGATTTATGGCAAATCCTAAAATGGTTAACTGTATGTATAGCAGGGGTATTTTTAGAACATTCTCTACCTGTAGTTTTACATACTGTGCTTACTGGAGTATGACACTTTACGGCTGAACGTTAGCCGCTGCTTAATTCAAGACAAACAATCAAACAAATTGTTTATCATGTGATCATTATTTATACAGAAGATTACAGAAGCCAGTGAACAAAATGCAACAAAACTAACGACATGACTCAGTTTACTCATGCTCAGCTTTTGAGTGTATGTAGAGTCTCTTCAAAATATTCTAAATTTTACAGCAAGAGTCACGATTTATGTGAATAATGATGTTTATTTGTTAGTGTACTTTATTCCCTTCATTAGATATCTGAGAAAAAAGAATTGACCACGAATTTATCGATTACAGGGCAGTTAACAAGAAAACTGGGTAGAATTTGAAGCATCTGTTTAGGTTTGTATAGAAAGTTATCCTATGATGATGAATCGTCCCTAACTGAATTGCCGAAAATCTCACGAACATTCCTTTGTCTTTTCCTAAATTTTTGACTATTCTTTTAATGCTTTGGATAACAGAGATTACACTAGCAGACATCAATTCCGAGTGTTCTGGAAACAGGCAAAGAACAAAACTACTCGTTCACAGATGACTTCACCTTTTATTCATTTAAACTCATAATTATGATTTAATTGTTTAGAAATCGTATATTTGCATAAAATAAACTGCTCCCTTCAAACTGAGCATATCATGATATCAGAATCTGGTTGTTTACTGCGTTTAGGCGTCTAAGCATGGATTTCCTTGGTAAAGGAAACACCTCGATTTTGATTCTCTTGGCTACGGCTTTGTTGCTAACCCCATGGACTGATACACAAGGTAAGTGTTTTTTTGTGTGTGTATATGTTATTAACATCAGAGATTGCTAGCGAATACGTCTAAGGAAAACCAAGAACGTTTGGAAAACTGGATATCTCAGGGAAAAAGCAGATACAGCTTAAAAACAGATCATTATTCATTTTTTAGAAGCTTCTTTGCCTGCAAAATGAAACAAACAGGTCGGATGTCGGATGTTTGTTGTTAAAGTTTATTCGTTAGCTGTTTGTCGTCCAAGTTGAGCAACAATCACAGATCATTTGATCAATGCAAGCGGACGAATTTGAAGAAAGGAATAGAGAAATGCGAATGATTATTTGATGGTGCTACTCATCTGAAATAAATTTTTCACAAACTAGACAAGAATCTAAGAAAAAAAATTATCCTTGAATTAATTTTGGTTCCATCCGTTGATGAGGCAAGAACTTTATACCCGATTACAATGTGTGGAATGAAAAAATTCGCGTATCGAACAAATTTAAATCTGGAGAGTTTTTGCGAGCGCGCAAATTACTTTGAGTTTTGAAGTTTTATGGTTTTTATACGCTGGATTGCACGATTTATATTTTAAAGAAACAGAACAATCGTTTGAAAAAGGTAGTATGAACATCAAATAGGTTCGAAATGCAGTGACAATATTGACTTTCCGATTTCACACCTGGCTAGAGACGTTGCGAACAGAAATTGTATATTAAGGCATTGAGAAAAAAGAACTATGATATAATATGATTCACCTCAGATTTGACTATTTTTTTATGTTTGTTTGAGTATTTTTTTCTTGCATAATTTCAGGCTCCAGGGCCTACTGTAACTCAATGATTCCCGTTTGAGTAGAAAAGAACAGCTTTTAATTAGTTTTGCATTCCGCTTCCAACATTACTATTTGAACAATTTTCTTGATTAGAATGGTCATAAAAATCAATGATCAGGAAAGTATTTTACTATTTAATGGATGTTTTACTGCTTAAAATTAATTTCTACTCCAAAGAGACAACTGCATTCAGTACATAGCTTTATTCCTTTATATCTCTATATTTGTTTATTTTGTTGTATCTTTGCGGTTTATTTTAAGCACACATCTAACTAACAGTAAAATTATACAAACGCGCGTATCGACCCACGGTTGAATTAATTTTTCTCTTTCCAAAGCATTTGTTAGACTAAGACCCTTGTAAATAGTGCTAGCATAGTTTTTGGCATAGTTTGTAACGTAATATTTGCACTTCTTATAAAAGAAGCACCACAAGCATAATCAGCCTAGTTTTATTATTTTTTAAGAGATCACTACCAGAGTCATGACTAGGAAAGTTGCTATGGTAACTGCAGATAGAGGACTGGGCACATTAGAACTATCAAAGTTGCGTCGGTCCCAGTTACCGCTTTCTCAGGCAACAACATGGCAGTAGCAAGTTATGTTTTTTCAAAGCACGTGTTTAACTCGAGATAAAGAAGATATTATGCATAATTATTAACTTGTATAACTTTCAACAAGCAGTATAATTTTAACCATAATTTGGAAAAAAATCAGGCAATGCTACTTCTACCAACACAATCTATAAGGGCCTAGTTTATACTTATTAACCGCTGTAAAACAGGGACTTTATTACTCGTTCATATTTTGTTACTATGATTTTCACGGTTTTTGCAGGATGTTCGATTGAAGAGCTAGGTGTTAAGGTGCCAAGCTCGAAAAGGATTCCAGACAAGTACATGACATCATCATCTCACCAGAGTAACGGGAACCAGGCTTTCCGCGGTCGGATTGGTTTGGAGAGCAAAGGATCATGGGCAGATGGATGGTGTGCTTAACAGAGCGACCCATGGCCCTACATTCAAATCTTCTTCGGTATGTGTTTTGACGTAAGCCGTAAAGGCTGAATAGAGTGCAGCAGGTCGAGGTTTATTGAGAGAGAGGCTTTCCTCGTTGAATACAAAAAGGAAACAGTTAGGTTTTCCTTGTTCTGTGGTAAATAAGCAGTATAAAATATTAAATTAGCCACTACACAAGATTTCTTTGAGTAGTTTTGCAAGACTGCCTGGACTTCATGTCTTGTACCCAGAATTCTTGGCGAGTACCTAAACGGAACAAAGCGAGGTGTTAGATTCCGTTTCAACTACAGAACAATATTTTATTGTTTGTCAATCCCTTTTTCTTCCCTAGGACACCTGACAAACTTTTTCGTCATTGAGTCTGAAGGAGTCGTCATTGATCGCGAAAAGATGTTTGTTCAAACCTATGAAGTATCAACCAGCAACGACTCTAAGGCTTGGAGGTTTTATTCTGACGGAGGCATTAAAAAGCAGGTAATACCTATTAAATCGGTTCCGAGCGAACAGAATTCAGAATCCCTCAGTTAAGTATGCATGCAAGCACTCATCCATTTCATCGTGCATACCTGCATGCTGTCATCCATTTCATCATGGAATCAAGCATTGTTCTATGGATTCATGCAGTCATCCATTCGTTCGTTTGGCTATACAATATTCACTTACCCTTTCAATTATTTCTTTGTTAATTTTTTGTTTGTTGTTTTGTTTCTTTTCGATTTTTGAAATTTTTCGCTTTTTCCTAACATTCCAAAAATATAAAAAAAAAATTGTCTAAAGTAGGTGAGACTCTTTTTCATCGATAACAGTACTGCGTCATAATTTTCACCAACCCCCACACATAAGGTCGAATGTCTCGAATGGGGCCATTAACCATCTTTAATCGTTCTGATGCATGAACTTATCTGTACATAGTTTTAAGCAAATACCGACGTACAAGCAAAGAACGTGACTTTGACAGACACTTGGGCTCATTATATCCGTATTCATCCAACAAGCCGCACAGGAAAATGGAGGTGTATGCGTATTGCCCTGTATGGTTGTCAATCAGGTGGGCTTAAACTTAAGTTAAGCTGAGGAAATTTATTTCCTTCAACATTCAAATCAAAACCAACAAGGTAGCTTACATTTAACCGCAACTTGAGTGCAGTATAGCTAACTTGAAGGGAAACTGACAAACATTTGAGGAGCGAATCCGGGAATTCGTCATAGACGGGAGGGTCCACATTAAAATTCAAAACACACAAAGTCTAAATGATCTACAAAATATTTCAAGAAAAGTACATCCTAAATTCTTCAAGCTGAATAGTAATATGTGATCCTGTTGTTAGAAGATTTTTTGTGTAACCAAATTAAAATGATTTCCTCTCAAGTTAAGGAAACGACATTCGTTCTCATTGTAAACAGTCCTTTCCAAGACTACTCTGCACAGGGTCGATCAGACAATACACCGATCAATAGAAATAGAGATGTCTTAAATTAGCCAAGTGAGCCTGATCAGTAACTGACACTGATCCACTCGAAAAGAGTAAAAAATTCCGAGTTTACAAATTGGTTCTGAAAGGTTTTTAAAGAGGCAGACACGTTATAATTTTAATACAGTAGTGTAAAAAAAAATCCAAAATATCGTCTCGTTTCTTCAAATAGAAGTCTTATCCTCCAGCTGTTCTACCACTGGACAAAACGTACAAGCTGGTGTAGGTCATCGAGCCTATTAGGTTCATGTATGACCTATTTATGCTTAGATTTTAAAGTATAATAGTATGTAGCAAGCAGTCTCCATTGTATATTGTGCCAAATGTTGTTTGTTCTAAGTTTTATTCTTTTTGTCTTTGAGAAAGATGATCCAAGAAAGTTCCTTGACACTGATCTCATTAGCAATGGAGCACTTGCAGAGAAGCCTTCAAAAGAAACACTCTTTTTAGGTAAGAACTAAAAGAAGGAATGGTTGAGTTTTTCAGTGCTATCGTCATCGTTATCGTTGCTTCCAAAATGCACTTTAGATGCGAAATTTTTTTTTACTTTTCAGTCATCCCAATTGTATTGTTTGGTTGTGTGATCATTGCTGGTCTCTTATGCTTCTGCTGTCGTCACAGGTGAGTAACGCTAGGATTAGACGTAACGGGGCTCGTAAGATAAATTTAGGGACTGGGCATGAAGCAACATTATTGACGAGAAGGGAAGTGAGAGTCCGTAACAGGGAATACCAAAGGTAAAGATCAGTGCTAATACCCGAGCAGCTGCACACCCACCCTTCCCTTAACTCAAAATTAAACCTAACTTGTTATCAGTTCACTATTGTTGGTTTAGAGGGGGGAGGAATGGTGTGTAGTTGCCCTGTTCCGCAGTTTATCACAAAGAAATATTTTACACATTTAATACGAACGTGGGATAAAGAAAAAGATGACTACTGCGTGAGAATTCCAGCCCCAACCAGTTTTGATTTCCTCTCTCGATGCTCTATCACTGAGCTACTGAGAACTCTTTGGTGAAAGCGGTCATGTAAACAGTTTGGAATTATTTGGTTGAATCAGATTTAGAAAGAGGGGACTTTTGCGATAGAAATTTTTGATGAAGCTCTGTTCAAGTTGCAAGCGCATATTTTAGAATTATATATTAGTGTGGATATGATGTATAGTATATAGAGTACGAAAGAGAACGTGGAGGAATGTGAGAATAATAATGCACTAAGCGCTAGGGAATGATATAATTTGCTGGTGCAAAAGTACAACATGCATCGAGTTATCTGAGGTAAGGTTACGCACGTTGTGAGTTGAATTGTTCAGGTCGTAATTGATGTTTCTTTGCACATTAATGAGATTAATGCAGGTACTTTGCTGGAAAAAACGTCCTGTTTGTTTCTATGTCTACTTTCACTCGTCTGTCGATTGGCCAGCCTTAATATTTCTGTAGATCTCTCTTGCGAACCTTCAATAAACGAGAATCATTTGTATCTTAGACCTAAAAGAGCACGTCGAATACGAGAAAAGAAAGAAAAGAAAGAGAAAGAAGCGCAGCATCAGGCAGAGACCAAACTTGGAATTGATAATGGTATAGTCTATGAGCAACCACCTCCTTATGAATTTCAAACTGTCTCCCTTGACTTCGACCACGACATGGAAGATGGCGAAATGCCGAGCATTCACCCCACCCAGTCGGAAAAACCTGTTTTTACTGACGATAACAAGGTAGTCAGGATTTAACTTCTAAAGGCTCTAGTCGAAAATCTTCACGTCCGTATTTAATTATAACAAGGGTAATAAAAGACAAAAGTTTCATCACTCGAAGGCAGCCATTTTGAATTCAAAATACGCGGCGATGTCTGGAACTAAGGCATAGGGCATTGAGGAAAGACTCGGAAATTCGCGAAAGTTCCGATCGCATCAATTAACAATTGTATCAGTTTTTTCTTTTCCTTTATCGATTACATTTAGAATTTCTCTAAAAGAATATCCATACTCTCTACAAAAAAAACTAAAGAGCATCTATACTAACTATTTTCTTTTTCTTTTTTGCTTTCTTCCAGTTCTACTCATTTGAACGGAACGCTATTGATTATTCCTAAGCTGAAACAACGGTCAGATTAAGCATGCACTGAAGACGTGTGGGAGTAGTTCTTCTTCTTTCTTCATTTGTAATGATACCGCTTAGAATGGAAATTATTTCAGCTTTTCCTCAGCATTGATTTTATGGCTTTATCTATTCCTTGAGGCCAACTCAAAATGTACAATAAGGAACTCGTAAGTTCCATTATTTAATAAACTAATAAAACACTTTGCCGTGGGAAATAAACAAATGGCTTTTAAATCTATAAAAAATTAAAAGTATTTGTACTTCATATGATTTGAGAGGAGAGTTTTGAGTTGATATTTCGTCGCCGGTCTAAACTGTTTGCAATTAGACTTTAGTGGGGAAAATTTACTAATTTGTTGTTTGTTGTTTTGCCTTTACCATTATTTTTTGGCTTCCTAAATGGGTACGATTTGCTATTTCATTTTACAGATTAACGTTTTGAAGTTAATCGATTCCCTGTTAGAGTTACTCCTTTTTTATTCAGAGGCTGCTCTATCATAACAATAAACAGCAGACATGTGTTGAATTCAGAGGTCTCCCGTAAGCTGATATTCTCAGCATGAAAACGAAAGGCCGGAAACAATTATCATGGGAAAAGTCCCCATTAATTTTTAATTGCTGTGTGAGCATGCTCACTAATATTACTAAGAATGGAGAGTTTCCGAATCGCTTACAGGGCATCTTTATAAAAAAAAAAAAGGTCAAAATAAGTCGAGGAAGACCGTGACGTTTTCTATTCTTTGTGGACTCAATGAATTTGAAATGAAAGGAGAAACCTTGAAAAATTACCCCATATATATATATAGATAAATGCCAATTTTTCGCAAAGAGAGAAGTAGCTGTTTTATTATTTCTAGAAAAAGCTTCAGCTCTTCCGGGAAAGTCCCTTTCACCTTATTTACAATTAGTTTGAATAAAATTTTTATAGAATTTTGTATATTGAAATTACTTTGTTACAGAACTTTGAGTATATTATATTACTGAGCTATCAGCAAAATGTGTTGGTCGCTCATACAAGCAGTGTAACTCTCTCGTATCATCTCGTCTCTGCATGTTAATTTCAAAGTTTTTTATAGACGTGACAACCTCGATGTTGGGAAAATCCCTTTGCCTTTAATTATATCTAGCAAACCCGTGTGACGCAGTAGTACTGTGGCGCTTTCTTATTGGCTAGACACTGTGTATTTACGACAGAGTTGCCCTCTTTTGATCAGTAAGCATATTTCGCTTGCGAGGGTTTTCAATTTCTAGCTATGGCGTTTAGTTGGATGTACACAGGCCGTGTAGTGTTCGGTCTTCTCCTGCTCGGTCAGGGGGGATTTTTAGTTGCTTATTCCGTCGATTATGACGAGGTTGCAGTCTGGGTACCGATAGTACAAGGTAGTTTATTTGCTATAACAGCGACCGTGTGGCTTGCTCTCATCTGCAGAAAAGCGAAACTTCGATGGTTGTTTTATGTCTGGGTTTCATATGTTATTGCCCTCATTGTAAACATTGGAATCATATTTGGAAGTATTGGAGACAAACTTGACAGGAAAAACTTCCTTGGCCCTAATGTTCTGAGGGGAGTTCTGTGCGTCACACCTCCGCTGCTGCTGTTGTTGTTACACAATGCCGACGATTTAGATCGATCCGATGAGCGCAAAGATCTAGTGTCCAAGCTTTCCTACCAAATGGTCATCGATCTCTTCGATTTTGTAGATATGATAGATATCGTTTTGGATGACAAAGGAAAAATGAATTGCCCGTTTGCAAACACGGGCAATTCAAGCCTCAACGCAATTCCTGAAAGCTTCGGAACGGCCATGGCTGCAGTAGCATCTGTCAGTCTACTAATGTCAATTTGGCAATTGTTCGAAAACAAGCTATCAAGCGATAAAACAAAGATTCGCTTCGGAACAACAGTTCTTCGCCATATGGCAGGGATAGCTTTGGTTAATTTACCTTTCTTGATCATTCGCTTGGTGGTTTGGGCTGAATACAGAAGAGATGCGTCCATCTTCATTGCCAAGAACATAATATCGATAGTTCTGTCCATTATGAATTTATACACACTTTTTGCAGAAAAATCAGTCAAATCTTGGTCTAATTTATGTGAAAGTTTTTTCTAACTGAGAGACGTCTAAAATGGCAAGGAGTTTTTGTTGTCATTATTCAAACAGTGTACGATGGGTTTGGAAGCACAACTTTGTGAAAACTGCATGGGCAGTACGACAGTGCATGATCGATTAAGGAGTAAGACTTGTGAAATCTGTATAATTACTTTCATAATAGTTTTTCTCACTACATTTCTTTTACTGCTGTATGAGGGAAGCAGACCTGCTAGTTACATTACAAATGTTCTAGTTGCGACTTAGCTGATGTCTCTTGGTTAACGTGTCATGTGTAATTATCAAGAATTGTTAAACAGCGACGCCTGAAGCAATCACTAAACAACGGTAATACAAAGTGAGGACTGTACTTCTCGTAGTGTTCAAGAAGAGTGTGGAATCAGTACGGTTATGAATAATTATGATTATTATCTTTAGATCAGTTGCAATTCGACCTTCGGAAATTACAGTTGTAGTATGCATGCCATCTCCACAAAAAATTGAGTCTATGTAAAATATGGGTAATATTTCTTTTCTTTTAGACTTACACGATTTATTTCACCCACATATATCCGCAATTCACTAAAATAAAAGGAAATATAAACTGATTTAGTCACATCATCTTGCAGTGAAGTCACTATAATTTGAACATCTCTTAGCTGCTTGCAAAAAATGTCTTCAAAACAGCCATCTAGGAATTATTTCTTCAAATTCCAACGTTAAGATCCTACTGAAAAATCAAGTTTCTCCATCATTTTTGCCTTAGATGCAAGGAGAATTGCAAATGATTCCGGTGTCGCAGTGATATGCGTACCCCCGTGATATGTGTATCCCCGCACACATATCACTAGTGATAGGTGTACCCCCTCTAATATGGCGACCAGTGATATGGATCCCCCACCCCCCTCCCACCCTAAAAGGAATAATTACGACAAACTTGTGTTAATGGACTGAAATTGGTGAACCCATAGGCGCATATTTATAGAACTAGGATCCCTTTCTGAAATACAACGAGCTATTCCATCAGCCGTAGGTAGTAACACATATATGCTACGTCGTTTTAACTGTTATAACGCAACGCTCCTACCCGCAGAAAATCCTCCTTTAAAAAACACCCAAATAGGAAGTTAAATGTGTGACACTTAAGAGTAATTATCTGGAGTAAACCCTTTCTCTCCTAACAGACCATTTTAATTTAGCTGGCTTACATACGTAGGTTAATTTACCACCCCCCATAGGGGTTTTTCAGAGCCAACACCCACTCATCCCACCCAGGGGAGGAAACCCACCACACAGTAATCTCGTGCGGGGGAATCAACGTCTCCTACCCCCCTAACCCTGCAGGAGACGGGGCCTACGGTTTATTCCTCCTTATCCGGGAAGACTAGAATATCTATCCATTTCTTGATTATAGAAAGGTAGCAAATTCTCCTCACTTATTTTAAGACCATGAGTATTGGTCCGGTCGGGGCTCAAACCCTCGACCTCCCGCACAACACAATCCGGCGCTCTAACCAATTGAGCTAACCGGGAGGCGGTTAGCGGCAGAACATTTGGCTCCACTTTCAAGCCAAATGTTCTGGCATGACCCCTCCGAAACCTACTACCCCCTACCTCATAAAACAGAACAGTCCCTTATAACAGTATCTTTTGTTATGAGCTTTCAAAACCACTTTAGCACACCAGGTGTATGTTTCCAAAATCACTTGGCCAGGAAATGTGAAACAGGAAACCTCTTCCTCTTCTATCATTCCCTTTCATTTTTGTTAGTTTGTGCTCACACAGGATCTGAGCCCTTAGTGTTACATCCTTAAACAAATTTACATGAATGTGTTGACGAAATTCTGTTTCCAACTAAATGGTCAGAAGTTTGACTTTCTGGTTCTCATCCATCATTAGCCTTTTTAAAACCATCACTTATGTACATTGGTTTTGAAATTGTTTCCCCTCTCCCCCCCACCCCCCATTAACCACAATTCATACTCACTAAAGGTCAGGTGAAGTACCCTTTGGTTAAGCATTCTGTTGATCTTCTTTGATAATCCCTTGTGTCTTTTTTACTGATAGCATAGTTACACTTTTGCAACACATGCAGTTTTAGAGTTTGCCCTTGATTTACAGGTGGCTCGTTATGTTCACAAATTAATAGGCATTATTTTGCTTTGGAACAATGTTAAGTTTTTTGTAGTTTCATTGCTGTTTTGCAAGATTATGTGACATAACTTACGTAGATAAAAAGTTTGCTCTGAAATTTTTTATTTTGGATAGTACATATACATTTGAGGAAGACTGAAACATTACAAGCAGATATTGCTTATCAAGGAGTGGAAATCACCTTTAATAGTAGATTAATACTATCAGTTAACAATCATTTTTGATTGAATTACTTATGTTGATTTATCAATATAAATACCTGATCTTTCGCATGTTGTTCAAATTGGTTGGCCTGTTGTTTTTGTGAGCACTTATTAGACACAACATACACAGTGCTAGGAATTAGAGAAAAATCCAGGTTGTCCATACTGGCAAATACTGGACAACCCAGACTTCGGTTGCCCAGATAAGGACTTGCTTGTCCAGGGCCGTATAGATTTCAAAACAACAAGATAAAACAACAACAACAACAACAACATAGAGGCCCCTTTTAAAGCTGAATTCAAAAGGATTTGATGTCTATAAAATATTAACCCACAAAATCCGTACCTCGTAGCCGCCATATTTTCCTTGAAGCCTTTGGAGGCCCGGGTACAAAGCTTCAGTGTTTTATGTATCCCTACCGGGGATACACATATCACTAGTGATATGTGTGCGGGGATACACATATCACTGCGAAACCGGTATTGATCGTCAAAGCAACCTTGAGTATGATGAACTTATTAAACTATGATATCGATAAAGACAACATTTCCCAGAAACAAAAACAACCACTTCCTAATTTCTAGGAAATACTTCAAGTCTGAGTAATCGATTCGGGAAAGTCCCTTCTGGCCTATTTTTGCATGACGGAAGAGAATGTGTCGCTTGTTGATTCGCTACAAGCGTTTGCAGATTTGGAACGTCAGCGTTTTATCTTAAGCAATTCAGAACGTGTTGCTATCGAACCGGCTTCTTGTCCTTCGATTTCTCTGATCATGGCTCGCTGTCCCTTTGAATTGACACTGAAGAATACAGGACGGATCGCATTTGGTGTTATCTTGGCGATTCAAGCCATTTTCCTAGCTTGCTACTCAGGCCGGTATAAAAGTTGTGAATGGTATAGCTTATTTACAGTTTTCCTGCCAGCATTTTGTGCGTGGTGTGTGTTGTTACGTTTCAAGAAAGCCACACTTCGTTGGCTGTTATTAGTCTGGATTCTCTACATTGTTGCCTTGATAGTGAACATCGGGATCATTTTTGGATTGGTTGGAGACAAACTTGGCACCAAGAAGTTCCCGAGTCTAGGTCTCTTAAAAGGAATTCTATGCCTAACGCCTGCTCTGTTATTGTTATTGCTACACAATGCAGATGACCTGAATCGATCTCAAGAACGCAAAGATTTAGTGTTAAAGCTATCTTTTCAAATGGCGATCGATCTGTTCGATGTCATTGACATGATAGACATTGTTTTGGATGACATAGGACGCGGTAATAGGGTTCAGAGCTCGTGTGTAGATATTATAGCCACATTAAACAGAACGCTTGTAGTGACTTTACCGAACTGCTCACTCGACAATTCAGGGATACCAACCTTGGAAGCAACCAAAAGCCCTGCCATACCTCCAGTATTCGGTGCAGTGATGGTTGGAGTCGCGTGCTCCAGCCTCTTGTTGTCTGTATGGCAGTGGGCTGAAAACAAGCTCTCCGCAAGTAACCCGAAGATTCAATTTCGAACGGCAGTTGCACGCAACGTTCTGGAGGTGATCTTTGTCAATTTCTTTTTCTTGATCATTCGTGGAGTGGTTTTTTTCATGTTTGGCCAAGAAGACTTCGTTTTTATAGCCAAGAATTTCATCGCAATATTTTTCTCAATTTTGGAAATTCACTCTCTTTGTGAATCGCATTCAACCAATTTCACAACTTTATGTAAAGAGGAATGGCGGAAGTGCTCCGCGAGACTTAGAGAGTTCCATCAGCGATTGAAGCGAGTTATGACTTGCAGATAACTATCTAATAAGTTGAAAAGCAAAACACTTTGCCGGTGTCCCTCGAACAATTAGTATGCATAACGTTATATGATAGTTTTAAACTATAATTTGGTTATTCATGATCTAAGGGCCTGATTACATGAGCCGGGCTGGCTCGGTTAGCCGGGCTGGCTCGGTTAGCCGGGCTGACGTCAGTTTGGCGGGATCTCAACACGTTTGTCAAACGCAACAAAAATGAACCTCGCGATTACATGACAACCGGGCCGGCCCGGTAAACCCAGATCCCGGTATCGCGGTGCCGGGATCCCGGCTAACCAGGCTGAAATTTTCCTATATAATCGCGTTTAGCCGGCTCAGCCCGGCTCATTAAGCCAGCAAGAGTTCAGCGGGTAATACAATGCTCATGCGCAATGGTCTCAATTTCATGCAAACATGGCGGCCACGAAATTGAAGTCGACGATTTTGGAATGGTGGACGACTTTCTTCGGGCGCTCGGTAAATTCAAAGCTAATATGGAGTATCGCAACGTGGACTTCAATGCTGATAAAACAAGCAATATGAAGCAGTGAGAAAGGCGATACCGAGAAAGTATTCTTGTGGCCATGTTGACTTGTTTGGGCCAGAAGAAACTACTGCCATTCCCGAAGATGTCGAGGAGTCACAGAGGAAAGAGTTGGTGGAAAAAGCCAATTCAGAGAAAGCGCTAATCAAGTAAGGTTATTCCAGGGTGATGGAAAAGATAAAAGAATTGCGGCAAAAATTTAGTAATGCTGTGACAATGGGATCTAAAAGTGGTTCTAGAAAGTTGGTAATGGAGTTCTTTGATGTAATGGTAAAGATACTGAGGAGGATCAAAAAATCAAAGCTCGCTCCGGTCTCCCGCGGTTCATCACCCCACTTATCAACAGGGCTGGCTCGCCTCATGTAATACCGCGCTGAATGTCATCTCGGCACACCAAAGCAGCCCAGCTAACCGGGCCAGCCTGGCTAATGTAATCAGGCCCTAAGTATTGGAAAGCTAGAGTGTTCTCACAGTATTTAATCTCAGCCTAGCGACCCAAAAAGACCTCGTAAGACGTTAGCAGCACAGTAAAAAGTTGCAATATTTTCTTTATGTAAGCAAACGATGCATCACCGATCTCATTCTGTAATAATTGATAAATTTAGTCACTGGAATAGATAAAAGAAAAATAGGATCACTGAAGCCTTGTAACCTAGGCTTTGCCCGCCAAGAAGCTTCACAAAAAAAACATAAAATAATTCAAACAACGAACGAAATTGCTATTTAACTTAAATAATGTAAATAATATTGTTGTTGAGTTCATACTGAATTCAAAATTAGTATTCAAAGACAAAATTGTGTCATTTGCAATGATTTTAAATGTTTCCACCGTTAGAGAAGGGAGAATTTTCTAAAATTATTTAACCTAAATCCTTCCAATCATTTGGAGGTAAACGAAGAAAATAATGGGCAGTTATGATTAGATGCAAAATTTGTTTTCTAAATAATTTAGGAAAATTAAGAAACTCGACAGTCTCTCTTGATGTCAATTACAAAGACCCATCAGGTTTTTTCATTTGCATTTGTTCAACTAAGCTTTCTTGGAAAAAATTTCATTATTGTACTGACTTTCTCGGGAACAATATTCTTGTTTAATGTACTAGCACTAACTTTGGTGTACTTTGAGTACCATCACTGTACCAGGCCATGGCTTATGGCCTGGTAGAGTTAGTAAATGTTCAAACCTACTTTCTAGCTTCATTGGAAATGATGATGATTTTTAAATAACATCTGACATGTTTAACAACCATTTGCAACTTTGATACCCATTCTGTAAGGTTATGAGTGCTTTGAGTTTGATTGATACTATTACTTTTTAAGATGCATATTACAACTACCAACAACTGAAGCGAGTGATAACTTGAAGATGATGATTTAATTAAATCACATTTATATCATAAGACTTAATGAGTTTAGAAGCAAATTCCTTTGCCCCTTTGCCTCGATTATTTTGTGTGTGAGATATCATGTAATAGTTTTGAATTATATTTTAATTATCCACGATCTAAGTATTGGAACTCTAGATGGTGATTGAGTCTATAATGGTAAAAAAAAATCAATTATGGTTTCTCAGTTTTAAAACCGTTGTTCACTTTAGATGAAGACGGTATTACGAGTTCCCTGTCAAAATACATTGTTTAAGACAAAATCTCTCGGAAAAGTGCTGGCAAAGCGCTTAACACTCTGTATGATAAACAGAAGCAATGAATCAACACGATAAGGTACCGTACTATCTACTTTCAGAACTAATTCAATAAATAAATAACTCACTACATTCTATATTTCATTATTGAAAGCATTCTTTATTTGTGTTTGCAATGTAATAATTTTGACTATTGTCTGAATCAGATGTCAATCGATTTTTGCATAAACAATGAACCCTAAAATATCACAAACACATTATTTGACTTCATATAAAAAGGTTCATGTCTCCTCCAATCTTGTGGATCATCTTCTGGGTGAAACAACGATTCGCCGTAAGTTAGCAGTTTTCCGCAACATTGCGCATTCAACTCCTTTTCGTTAATTTCCTGTTCTTGATTATTCGTTCTTGGATGCGAATACGCCAGAGATGAATCTATTTACTATTGCAAATACCATCTCGATATTTTTTTTCCATTTTGGAGGTTTTCGAACTTTTTGAGTCGCATTCTGAGCTGTCAATGAGTTATGTATAGTTGTTTGAGAGATGTGGATTGGATGACCCCTCTCAATTGATATTAAACTGAAAAGTGTTGTTATCAGCTGTTTTTCTTTATTCAATGGTATGGTACATTGATATATCATTGTTTACATAACATACTAAATGACTTTTACTTTTGTTTTATCTTTTGGAGCAGTGAAACCTTTTATCCTTAGCTTCAGTTTGTCTGACAGTAACTGTCACAAAAACTCGATAACAAAAGTCAGTCAACTAGAGATTGATCGAGATATTCTGTATAAAAGTGAGTATTTTGAAGCGAAGATATGTCAGTTGAACTTTTGCGCAATTTTTTTCTCCTGTAAGACAAGAAAGATATATCTCCAATCCTTTACCTTAAACCCATCCAACCAATTGAAGAAAGAAAATTTTAAATTTTTGTTAGCAAAAGCCTAGAAGTTGACTCAACTTGTGAACACGACGTGGGGCAGCTGTAATTAGATGCAAAATCTGCAACTTGAATAACTCAAGGGTGTCATTCAACTCGACAGTTGTGCATATTACGTCATTTTCAAAGACCTCTATCAGATTTCTCTTTGTCTTGTTCAAGTCAGCTTTTTCCGAAAAGATTACTAAGAGATTGGACCAGAAAACAGGGTCGTCTAAAAACACGATGAAGGGATGATCTCACCATACAGCTAGGACCTGCATGGTCGAGATTGGCTAAAGTCAGATACCTGTGGGATCATTCCAGGGGGGAGGGATTCCTCCGCCAGGAGTGAATTCAGCCCTAATGATGATAATGATGATGATGATGATGATGACTCCGTTTTCTCGGAAACTGAACTTTCTCCAGTTTGGTGTACAGTCTGCTTTGAAGTAAAAGCTTTAACTTCGCTGTTAAGCCTTCTTTAAGCAGCAAGTATCGTAGAGGTAAGCTAAAGAATACTTTTACCGTGGCTTTATGGTTAGTGTGCATTCGGCGACTCCTTTTCTTCGGCTTGGGGCATCCAGGTCTTTTCGCTGGCTTCGTATCCTGCAGAATCACACAAATAAGAAGATGGTTTCTATGTACTAGTTGTCCTGTACGGCCCTGCAGTTGTTCTTTGGCTTTATATCCTGTGCGACGACAAGGAATTACAATGGTTATTTGCTGTTTGGACGTTCTATGTCGTTGGTTTCGTGATCTTTGTTAGGGTCATATTTGGACTGGAGCCCATTGAAGATAAACTTGACAAAGCGAAATTCGTCAGTCCAGACGTTCTGAAGACAACACTTTGCCTTACTCCGGTGATTTTGTTGTTGCCTACAGGAACCGATTCCATCGACTACAGAGATCTGATATGGCAGTTGTTTCTCTGAATGGCGTTGGATTTCTTCGATGGAGTGGGAAATACTGGATGTTATTTTCGAAGAGAATAAATTCAGCCATGGCGTTCCTAAAAGATTTGAAAATGCAATGCTTGCATTTGTCTGTATCAGCTTTCTGCTGTCTCCTTTACGGCTGGTCGAGATAAAGATCAGTGTTTTATGGCTGGTCGAGATAAAGATCAGTGTTTTCGGAGAGTGGAAAATCCGCAAATGGACAACTGGTTTACGCACCACCCTACAAATTTTCTGTGTTAATTGCGTGTTTTGGGGGCTCCGCTTGTATCTCTGGCAAGGCTCCGGAAAGGATGCCTCCATTCTTATTGCTGAAAATTCTATAGTTATTTTTCTTGGCCTCTTCGAGATATGTTCAATCTGTGAGTGTTGTGGTTGTGACGATTACTAAGCGAAATTTCGAGTAATCGCTTGAGTGCTTATCATCCGGATAAAGCTGCCAATGTGTCTGGACAAACCATGAATAAATTTGATACAAACAGTTTGTTTTACTAAACCATGAGTGTTTTCCTCTCTTGCTCTTCCTAACATCACTCTTGAATTGATATACGAAAATGTTTCCTTCTGAATTTATAATGTGCCAGAGTTGATCCTTTTCCTTCTTTTAATGGATCTGTCTTGGATGATATGCGTGGAAAAGAAAGGGCTAAGTTTGTGTGCAAGGCGATGTTAAGTGAATAACGATATTTACATCCCTTTCCCAAGTTGTAAATATTCACAACTACGAGATTATCATGTACAATTTCTAATCAACAATGACATCGTGTTTAAACTGTTTCTTCGTATGAAAGCTGTTAAATAAATAAAGACCAATAAAATGTAGGTACCTAAAATGGTAGACTTCTTGATCAAAATTAATATAAAAAAGAATTGTTTAGTTTTGATTTTGAGATGAAGGTAAAAGAAAAATGAGACCTAGACTAAATTACTATACGAATAAGCGGGACGGGTTGAGCAAGGCGATGGGGTGAACTCGCGGAGTGAAGTCTCATCAGCCGTAACAGTAATTGAATGTCATGGATTTTTGTATTAAAAAAAGCTACCTATTTTCCTATTTTATTTCGTAATGTTGGTTTTTCGCCTTTCTTCCATTTTTTGACCCTCCTGCAAAATGACGTTTTCTGCACTTGGTATAAACCAAAAAAAAATCAAAATGAAAGGGGCCACCCAGAAAAATACTCTGATATGGATAAAAAATATTTACTTTGCGGAAACCGAGGCGGTTTCCTGATTTCTAAGAAAGCGCCAGCTCTTCTGGGAAAGTCCCTGTCAGGTTATTTACATTTCCATGACATCCTCGCACATTGATATTACACTATGTGTACACATTTAAAATATTCCCATGTAAATAGTCTGACTTTCAAATATACAGAAGTGTTGTAAGTTAAGAATTTTTTTAACAAGTTTTACTATTTTCCTCCTTTTTACTACTTTTAAAGGTTTAAATTTACTGTAACAAAAGATATGTAATGTCATATCGTGTAAAAAGATGGTAAAGACTTCTAGACTACTTGATGTTCAAACAGTGTCACCTAAAGCGATCATGATCACCAAACTATGCTGTCACAAAATAAGAACTGTGTTTCTTGCAGTCTTCAAACGTTTAATCTGAACATGGTGACCCAGAAACCAAAAAGACCGCGATCGATCTCACTGGTAAATGATTACTAAATGTAGTCTTTAGAAAACGAATAATAGGATCGCTGAAGCTTATGTATCACTGATTATAATTAAGTTCTTCGGATTCCAATGAAAACAGTTGGATAGAGCACTTGGTCTGATTCACGCATTCTCTATAATAGTAAATCGGTACCCTAATACACAACAGATACGTCTTAGTTCAAATTATTCCATATTTCTTTTTATCCAGTAGATCTGTAAGGCAGAGAGAAAGATGGCTATCAGGTTTTTTGTGATGAAGATGGACTCATTGTCATCTTTGTCGTACTTAACGATCACAATCACTCGCATTACCATGAAAGGCAAATTCACGAAGAGGATCTCTAAAGCATTTGCGAGAATCGCCACTTTCTCGCGAAGAGAAACAGAGGCCACTTTCTTGCGAAGAGAAACAGAGGCCGAAGCGCTATTCTCTTTGAGTTCATTCTGAGCAATTTGCAGCAACGTCAGCAAAAAGCTCACGCACGCCGCTGCTACCATTACATGTCCAAACTCTTTTGGAATTCCGTGGCTGTTCTCTCTCTCATCAAGCACAGTATCCAACATCTCGACGCTATCGACAAGATCTATGGTTATCGCGACTGAGAGCGTCCAAGCTAGGGTTGCGTACTCATGATGTTCGCCCAAATCGCTCGCTGTATTCACCAGAAGGAGAAAAGCAACAGGCGTGATACACAGGATCACTTTCAAACAGGTCGGGCTGAGGAAATGCCTCTTGTCGAGTACGTCTCCACATAACGCAAAAATAATGGCGATGTAAGGAATCAAACCGAACACAATGTAGAGACCCCACGTAAGGAATACTTCACGGAGTTTAGCCTCAGTGGCCAAACAATATGCATAGTAAATAATGACTGGAGAGAACAACAGTAGCAAGGGAATGAGACGATGATCATCTCTGTACCAGACAGGAAAAGCTGTAAGGAACCCGCATTGGACGCACAGAAGAAGAAAGGTAAGAAGACGACCGACCAAAGCCAATGAACAATCCATGCTTCGTTTTTCTATTTGAAAGGGTGCTGCTCTCGTTGGAGGCTTTAAAGTTTGAATTCTGCTGTGTAATCGTCTTTGATTCGAACATTACGTTATCTTGAAAACATGCGCATGGTTGGAAATCGAGGACAGCCAGCGGAAGTAATAGTGGGCTCATATTCGCAGCATTGGAATAGCTAATGATGTAACAGAAATGTCGGCTAAAATTACCCTTTATCGCGAGTTAAAAATTTAAGCAGCGCCAATTTTATGATTGAGAAAAGGAAAAAATAGTTTTCAGTACAGGGATAGTTTTATGAAGTGGAGCGAGTTATTTCCAAGATAGAGGAAACCTTAAGCGATAGGCAAGTTAATTTACATATTTTTATATCTTACACGATTTTGAAGCCTTCAGTGCCCGTGAAACAGCGGTATTGATCTTCTATAGCTAGGTTACAAAGCTAGTGATAAATGGGGATTGTTGTCACAGGGAAGCAAACGTATAAGCCCGTTTAAAATTGCAATTTAACGAGTCTACGTCGTATTTTTCTCGATGAGTCACCACAGACGAACCGATTGAATATAAACTTGACAAGGCGAAATTCTTCGGTCCAAACATTCTAAAGACAACACTTTGTCTTGCCTCGGTGATTTTGTTGTCACTTTTAAGTATGGGAACGGAGACCTCCTCAACTGGTAGTCGTCTCTCCGAATGGCATTGGATCTCTTCGATGTAGTAGAAACGATAAATGACGAACAAGAAAACAAATCAATTTTTTCAGGTCTGATTTTCACTATTGCTCAAATAGTGCTTTACTGCGAAGGATCGTGCTCATATACGTCTCATAACCGCAGTTCACACATATGTTTCATATGTTTGTTGTTGTTTGAAAACAAATCAAGTATCACCTCTGTAACAGGAATTGAACGCCATACATTTTTGCATTGAAATGTCCTACTTTCCTATTTTAGTTATTTTAAAAGTCACCATTTAGATTCATAACTGAAGCTACTCTTTATATATTTCGTAATGTTGATTGTTCATCTTTCCTCCTATTTTCTGACCCTCCAGCAATTCCTGCCTCTCTTCGTCACAAATAATGTACGTTGGTTAAGTAGTGTGGTGTCATAAAACGTCATGTCAAATAAGACAATGGAAACAATAAAAGTCTGTATTTGCGGGCGGGCTCTTTAACGAAATTTAAGAGTGGACAGTTTGGTAAATTGCTTTTACAACAGTTGATCACAATATCTCTCCGAAAAAAGAAAGGTCTAAAGCAATCAAAAGAGCGAAAAATTACGTTTTCTGCTTTTTTCAGTAAACCAAATAAAATCAAAATGAAAGGGGCTACCCCCTGAAAACATGACACCATTGATATCGATAAAGATATTTAACTGCGGAAACCGAGGCAGTTGTTTCCTGATTTCTAAGAAAGCGTCAGCTCTTCTGGGAAAGTCCCTGTCAGACTTGTCATGTTATTTACGTTTGCATGACATCTTCGCAGATTGATATCACACTATATTTTCTCGCCTAAGTAAATTTGAATATTTCATTCAACTTTAGTAAAACTTGTACAAAAACCGTTGGGAAAATCCCTACGTGACGAAGCACTAACTGATATGACGCTTCCCGATTGGCTAGTTACTTTATATTTAGGATAAACTTCAATTTTGCCTTCTTGATTATTCGCTTAGTGGTTTGGGCTGAGTACCATAAAGATGCGTCCATCTTCATTGCCAAGAACACAATATCGATAGTTCTGTCCATTTTGGATATAAACGCAATTTGCGTAGAAAATTCCGTTAAATTTTGGTCTGAGTTATGTAAACGTTGTTTCGGACTGAGAGAGGTCAGAAATGCAAAGAGTGTTTATTTTCATTATTCAAACAGCACACGATCAGTTTAGAAGCACTACTTTGTGAAAACTGCCTACACATTAACGGCAGTATTTAGTTATCATTAATTGTTGTTATTATTGTAATTTTCTATTATTGTATCGCTGTATGAAGAGAGACATTCCTGCTCCCCTTTTATATTTGTGACCTCGGTGACATCTCAGCACTGATGTGTCTGGCGCTTCCAAAGTCGAAGTCACCAAAATTCAGAGCTTTCTAGGAATAATTCATAAGCTTAAATATATATCCAAGATCGTAAACGCAAACGAACTACTAGTAAATAGGACAAAACAGTTTTAAATAAAGTGGCAAAGTTTGATCCCCAAGGAAAAGGAGACGAAATATAATTTAAGAGAAAAAACGTGTCGTGTGCCCCAAAATTAACACCGATCATTTGAAAGATTTGTAAATAATTCGTCTAATTTTCATTTACAAGGTAGCGTTGAAAATTTAGAATTTTTTCGAGTTTTATTACTCTTTACTCGTTTACTTCTTTTTAAGCTTTACAGTTTACTATAACATAGGATATGTAATTTAATATTTTGTCGAGAAATATTAATTAATGTGTAATTATCCAAAATGATTAAACAGTGTCATCTAAAGCGATCACCAAACTACGGTCGCACCTATAAACACAAATAAAGAATGTGTTTTTCGCAATGTTCAAACCTTTAATCTTAACATGAAAGAAACCAAAACGAACGCCATCTCACGAGGTAATGATGAGTGAGACTTTATAAATGAATAATTGGATCAATGAAGTCTTGCGACCCTGGCTTTGCCTGCCAAGAAGTATTACAAAAACATGATAAATTAATTCAAACAATGAAGAATTACGCACGAAACTTTAATGTTGTTAATGGAGAGTCCATACTGAATTAAAAGTTAATTATATTAACAGAGGTGACAGTGTGTCAGCCGGACATATTGTTTTAAAATTTTTGACCTGAGTGACATGCGCCGAGAATTTCTTAGAATTCTTTAATTAAATCGTTAAAATCATATGAAGATAAACAATGTTTAATTTTTTGCGAGGATAAGGCTAAAGGTTCGTTCAACTTACGAAAAGAATGGAAAAACAGTCATGTTAGATGTAAAATTTATATCCTACATGACTATTCAGGGAGTCGCTAACTTGACAGTTGCTCGTATTACGTCATTTGGTAAGAGTTGTCAATCTCTTTCCTCGTGTTTGTTCACATCCGCTTTTCTCGGAAAAGATTATTTAATCATCCTTCGCTTTCTCAGAAACAACGTTTTGAATCATACTTAAAGTTTATTTCGATGCAATAGTATCCACTTTGCAATAGGATATTTTAGTGGCGCCACTATTCGTAGAAGTGCCCTAGAAGAGTATCTCTATCATGGCTTGTTTGTTAATCGGTGTTGGGCGACTCCTTTTCTTTGGCTCGGTAGGCCTCCAGGCCTACTCGCTAGCTTCGTATCCTGCCGAGTACAAAAACGACGATGGCTTCTATGGACTGGTCGTCTTGTACGGTCCTGCAATTTGTTTGTGGTGTTATATCATGTGGGACGAAAAGAAATTACAATGGTTATTTGTTGTTTGGACGTTCTATATCTTTGGTTTTGTAATCTTCGTTGGGATCATATTTGGACTCGAGCCCATAGAAGATAACCTTGACAAAGCGAAATTATTCGGTCCAAACATTCTAAAGACGACCCTTTGCCTTGCCCCGGTGATCCTGTTGTTGCTTTTGAGTACCGGAACGAACTCCGCCGTCTACAGAGACCAGATCTGGCAGTTGTCCCTCCGAATGGCGTTGGATCTCTTCGATGGAGTGGAAATGCTGGATGTCATTATCGAAGAGAATGAATTCAGTCACAACGTTCCTAAAAGCTTTGAAAAAGCAATGCTTGCATTCGTCTGTATCAGCTTTCTGACGTCTCCACTACAACTGGTGGAGATAAAGATCGGAGCAGGAGAGTGGAAATTCCGCAAACGGACAGCTTTTTGGAGCAGAACCTTTCAAATTATATGTGTTAATTGCGTGTTTTTGGGGCTCCGCATACCTCTGTGGCTACGCTACGGAAAAGATGCCTCTATTTTTATCGCCAAAAATGCTATTGTTATTTGCCTTGGTCTCTTTGAAATATGTTCAATCTGTGAGTGTTGTGGTTGTGACGATTAGTATGCAAGATTTTGGGTTATGAGTAGAGAGCCAATGATCCGGATAATTTTTTCAGGACGAATTTAATTGAATGGAACAAGAAGTGCTGGCTAAGTTCTTCTTTTGTTATTAAACAATTGTTTTTATTCTAATTAACAAATTACTTTTCTAAAGATATATCCATTTATTGTGTGCAACAGTCTTTGAGCAGAATAAAGCTTTTAGATTTTTTTTTCAGTCGCGTAAAGGTCAATAGTTAAACCTGATGATTTTCTGACCCAGCCATGGATAGATTCGAAACAATTAGTTTACTATACTTCATCAGGAACGTTTCCTTATTTCTTGAAAAACGAACTTACCTCGGCAATATTTCCTTTTTAAATTGTAGTAGATATATATATAGTGTTGAGGGATGACATTTCACCTATCAAGCGTCCTTTTAAGGGCATTTATCTTGGGGGACCTGTATGAAATAGGAAAGGTCCAAGTTTGCATAGAAGGCGATGTTACGTGAATAACGATGTTTGTATCCCTTTCCCAAGTTTAAAACGCTATTCTGAAACGCGTTAATTATTATAAATGGATATTTCCGTTTCTTTTATTCCTGAGACGCGATTGAGAAGCTCTTTAGAAAATTCGTGCATGCATCGGGTTTCTTGAAAGTTTCCATTAGACGCCCTGACTAAAAGTACTTTTAGAATAGACGGGATGGGTTGAGGAAGGTGAAGGGTCGAGCCTACAGAGTTGATTTCGAAAATAAACCGAAAAAACAAGGGACAAGAAAATTTAAGCCAAAAAATCGTGACTATTGCCCGATGTTTTTTTGTAGTTATTTTCGAAATTCACTGTTCAGTGTAATTAAGCTTCTCTGTTTTTATTTCTTAATGTTAGTTAGGCACCTTTTCGTCTGCTACACATCTTCGTCAACCAATGATGTTGGTTAAGTCAGTGGTATAATATAAAACCGTGTGTTGAATGAGAAAGTTGAAGAAACTCACGTCTGTATTGTCGGGCAATTTTTGTGTTAATTTGAGAAACATGGGGTTGAATCAATCCAAGCTCGAAATGTATGTTTGGAAGCAAGGATACATCGCGTCGATGTATAATAATCATGTAAACTATCTCGTTTGTTGTGTCATTCATAATTTTGCTACTTGTGATTTCCGACATAAACGGAAGGATTTGTGATATTTGGGTTACATAAGGACAGAAGGCTTTATAGGAAAACTGCGTTGGTGAGAAACGCAGGAAGTTGGTTCAAATTACGCGTCGTGAGAATGATTTTAAATTCGATGTTCTCATTCTTGGGTGAGCGGAATTTCTCAGTTTAAGCAGCCTTCTTGAGTCTACAACAACAACAGCAATTTGACTTTGAAAATGGCTTGTTCACCATTGGCTTGGGTTTCACGTGCTGCCTTCTTCAGCGTGATGATCCTTCAGTATATTTCTTTCGCTTAGTATCCAGCACACTACGAAGATCAAAGTGGCTGGTATGCTTTAATTCTCCTCTATATCCCATCTTTGATGCTCTGGTTTATCATCTTGTGCAATGACAACCTCCTTACCTGGGCATTTTCTGTTTGGGGTCTTTACGTATGGCTTGCCTTAGTATCCGTAATTGGAGTAATATTTGGGCAAATCGAAGGCAAAATCGAAAAGGATCTGTTCCTTGGCCCTGATGTCTTGAAGATGACCCTTTGCCTGACTCCACTCGTGTTCTTGCTGTTACTTAACACATTTGAAACGGATAGTGAAGACCGAGAGTTCTTATTTAAGCTGGCTTTCCAAATAACATTAGATCACTTCGACGGAATTGCGATGCTAGAAGTTATTCTGGAGGAAAATGAACTTTCTCATGGCCTTTCCAAGCGCTTTGAGGCAGCTATCATTGCCTTCGTTTGCATAAGTTTCGTGCTTTCGCATTTTCAATTGGAGGAGAACAGATTTTTGGAAGAGTCTAGTTACAAATATATAGCCACCATACGTATCACCCTTCAGATTTTACTCACCAATTGTGTGTTTTTAGGTCTTCGTTTGGCTCTGTTCTTTAAGTACAAGAGAGATGCGTCAATTTTTATTGCCAAAAATGGCATTTTGATCATTCATGGTATTTTAGAGATTATTTATTTGTGGAAGCATCAATAAGCAAAAACTACTGTAGGAGCCACACTGTTAAAAATTTCAATCATATATAATAGGTTCTTAATCAAATTCGCATGCCCGACATTTTCTTTGCTTTCCTTGTTTGTATGACGTGTAGTTTTGTAGGAGTCGCATTGTCCATTAAATTAATCATTAGATTATGTCTGGTCAGCGGTTTACTGTTACTTTACGTAAACAAGAGAAGGGGAGGGAGGGGAGAATGTTGACATTGCCACCCTCTATAGGTTTACATAAAACGCCCCCTATCCCTCTTCACTTCCGCCAACGCTTTTAAAGAAAACAGTCCGTCTTTTCTATTATTACGATGCCTATTTCTCAGCCTGCAGTGCAGGCGTCTTAATAGGGCGAGTTAAAGTCAAGAAGCGCACGATCGTTTATTCCACCGGCGATGTTTGATTTGGAGGTAGAGTCGAGAGTACCGGGAGGGGGTTGGAACGGGCGAGACATTCACTCCACACCCTTACCCCATCCCTTTTTTCACTGTTGCTCACCCCCTTGGTACAAATCTTTTTCTCTCCCCAGCCTTTCGCTTTCATTAAAATCAAAGATGATGGCCATAATTTTCGCTAATAAAATAAAGAGCACTCGCTCGCCAAAATTAAGCTTACGCTGCAGGCTATTGAATTCTCAGAAAACCCGACCACGCCTAAGTTGTTTAAAATAATTGTAGGCACGCCGCCTAGGCAGCTGGAATGGCAAGGCGGCTCGCTATAAGGCTGTTAGAAAAGGGTTGTCTTGCAGGAGTTGTAACTGATTGATCAATTAATTGACTGACTGATAACTTTGTCTACACACGAAAAACAATTTCCTTCGGGATAATTTACGCGTAAAATATCTAGTTCTACCGAACTAACCTAAGTGACAAAATGAGATAAATCTGTCCTATTGTGAGGCTGCTTTTCCAGGATGTTGTGTTGCATTCGGAGCTGTGATGAACACACCTTAAAGATGCTGCAGAACGCAGATCTTGGGATGAGTTGTTCCACACCTCAGCACCTTTGTAAGAGAGACTTCTCTATAAATGATTGGTGCGGGGCTGTCAGTTATGAAGTGTTTTTTAAAAACCTGAAAAAAAACTTCTTAGACAGCTGAATCCTCATCCTCTCGAAATTTGATTCCCAAGAAAGGTGAGACGAAATATAGTTAAGAAAATAAAACGTGTCGTGTGCCCTAAATTTAGAACTGACCGCTTTAAAGATTCTTGTTTAAATGTCCAATAGTCCATTTTACAGCTGTGTGCTTAGTTGCCAAGCCTTTGATTTGGAGTGAGGCTGATGGTGACCTTGTTGTGATAGAGACCAGTATCCAGTTAACATGATAACAAAGAAATCTACATTTGAAAAACAGCAACCTCTGTATCATAACAAGGTCACCCTTACCCTCACTTCTGTTCGAAGGCTTGGCAACCAAGCGCCTAACCCTCACTTCTGTTCGAAGGCTTGGCAACCAAGCGCTTAACTGTAAAATGGATTATTCTTAAATTCAAATTAACGTCGTAAGTTTAGTGTTTTTACACAGATACAATGAAATATATGAAGTTCATATATTTTGAACTGCGGTTTTAGATACATATGATGTACGATCCTCGCAGTAGATAGCGCTATTTAAGCAATAGCGAAAATCAGACCTGAAAAAAATCAGGCCTGTACGGGAATCAACTTAACGGCCTGCTCCCAGTTGGCTTGTTAGCTCAATTGGTAGAGTGCTGCACTAGTATCGCAGAGGTCAGTGGTTCGAATCCCGTACAGGCCTGATTTTTTTCAGGTCTGATTTTCGCTATTGCTTAAATAGCGCTATCTACTGCGAGGATCGTACATCATATGTATCTAAAACCGCAGTTCAAAATATATGAACTTCATATATTTCATTGTATCTGTGTAAAAACACTAAACTTACGACGTTAATTTGAATTTAAGAATAATCCATTTTACAGTTAAGCGCTTGGTTGCCAAGCCTTCGAACAGAAGTGAGGGTTAGGCGCTTGGTTGCCAAGCCTTCGAACAGAAGTGAGGGTAAGGGTGACCTTGTTATGATACAGAGGTTGCTGTTTTTCAAATGTAGATTTCTTTGTTATCATGTTAACTGGATACTGGTCTCTATCACAACAAGGTCACCATCAGCCTCACTCCAAATCAAAGGCTTGGCAACTAAGCACACAGCTGTAAAATGGACTATTGGACATTTAAACAAGAATCTTTAAAGCGGTCAGTTCTAAATTTAGGGCACACGACACGTTTTATTTTCTTAACTATATTTCGTCTCACCTTTCTTGGGAATCAAATTTCGAGAGGATGAGGATTCAGCTGTCTAAGAAGTTTTTTTTCAGGTTTTTAAAAAACACTTCATAACTGACAGCCCCGCACCAATCATTTATAGAGAAGTCTCTCTTACAAAGGTGCTGAGGTGTGGAACAACTCATCCCAAGATCTGCGTTCTGCAGCATCTTTAAGGTGTGTTCATCACAGCTCCGAATGCAACACAACATCCTGGAAAAGCAGCCTCACAATAGGACAGATTTATCTCATTTTGTCACTTAGGTTAGTTCGGTAGAACTAGATATTTTACGCGTAAATTATCCCGAAGGAAATTGTTTTTCGTGTGTAGACAAAGTTATCAGTCAGTCAATTAATTGATCAATCAGTTACAACTCCTGCAAGACAACCCTTTTCTAACAGCCTTATAGCGAGCCGCCTTGCCATTCCAGCTGCCTAGGCGGCGTGCCTACAATTATTTTAAACAACTTAGGCGTGGTCGGGTTTTCTGAGAATTCAATAGCCTGCAGCGTAAGCTTAATTTTGGCGAGCGAGTGCTCTTTATTTTATTAGCGAAAATTATGGCCATCATCTTTGATTTTAATGAAAGCGAAAGGCTGGGGAGAGAAAAAGATTTGTACCAAGGGGGTGAGCAACAGTGAAAAAAGGGATGGGGTAAGGGTGTGGAGTGAATGTCTCGCCCGTTCCAACCCCCTCCCGGTACTCTCGACTCTACCTCCAAATCAAACATCGCCGGTGGAATAAACGATCGTGCGCTTCTTGACTTTAACTCGCCCTATTAAGACNGTAGAGAGGGTTTGCGAACAGCCCTTCAGATCATCTGTGTTAATTGCGTGTTTTTGGGGCTTCGCATGTATCTTTGGCGAGGCTACGGAAAAGATGCCTCCATTTTTATCGCCAAAAATGCTATTGTAATTTGCCTTGGCTTTTTCGAGGTATGTTCAATCTTTAGATGTTGTGGTTGTGACGATTATTGAGCATAATTTTGATGAATCAGTTAGTAGAATCGGTCAGCGATCCGTGTAAACTTGACAATCAATCTGGGAGAACCATGAATAAATTTGCAACAATAATCATGAGCGCTAGCGTTTACAAATGCAGAAAGCTGTCAAGAATTTCAATTTCTCTTATACTTTCAATGATTTCAATTACTCTTATACTCTCGTCCTAACTTCAGTCTTGGATTTAGATCGACAACTTGTCTCGTTTTTTAATTAAATGTGTCTTTATCCTCTTTCTTGTAGTGTTTCTCAGTTGTGCTGCTCCTCAAGGCTCAGTTCTTAGCCCCATTATTGTTTCTCTTGTATATTAATGACATTAGTAACTGCCTCAAAATACTAGACTGTCTTTTATTTTCAAATGATGCCAATCTGTTTTATAAGCATAAAAATCTAAAAGTGCTTGAATCCATTTTGGATGATGAATTAGTTAATATCCATACCTGGTTGAGTGCTAACAAACTGTCACTCAGCATTGATAAATCTAATTTTATCATTTCTCACCCTCCACAAAGAAAATTGCCCTTTAATGTCACACTCCGTCTTAAATGGCATAAACTTAAACCAAGAGTGCTTAATAACGTATCTAGTTCTTATAATAGATTCATGGAAAAGCCCTGTAAGCTACATCGCTTAAAAGATGAAGCGAAATATTGGTATTTTTTCTAAACTTCATTATTATGTGCATTTAGACATTCTGCTCAACCTATATTATGACGTGGTTTATCCCTTCCTGACCTATGGTTTAATTTCTTGGAGTAACACCTTTTCTTCCACTATTCAGCTTTTGTTCATTTTACAACAGAGAGCAATTCGAATCATGACATTTTCTAAATTTTGTGAACATTCTAGTCCTTTAAGCGTCTAAATATTTTTAAGCTGCCTGATCTTGTCTCTCTTTACATTGCAATCTTTAGGTGCAAATTTCACAACAGACATCTACCATCTGTTTTTGTTACCTTCCTTACACAAGTCAATAAAAGACACAACTACAATACCAGAAGTGCTTTGAATATGCTCTACACTTTATCTAAAGTAAGAACAAATTATGGCATATTCAACATAAGATTTAAGGGTCCTAAAGCATGGAACTCTATAAGTGAAAACTCTAAATTCTTTTCTCTTTCAAAATTTAGGAATCAGTCAAATGTGATCTCGTTAGTGATTATTAAATGTATGTATTCATATTATCTTAGATTGCAGTTGTGTATTTTCCCAAGTTATCTGGTTGATTTTCTTTCGTTAAATTCTGTCTACCTTTCTAATCCTTGATATAAGTTGTTTTATAGCTAAATATAATATGTATATAATGTTATAATGTTATTTGTTGCCATATTTACTACTTAGTGATAATAAACGCTTTCCAAACTATTTTGTGTTTTCCAAAATACCCTATTTTTTGATAAATGAATAGTTTCCCTCTGCACGTTTAGGAAAAAATACTAAATTTAATCAAATTTTGCGGAGAAAATCTTAAAAAGATTAAAAAATCTTATTTTCCCCAGCAAGATTGAGCATGTCCGTAAAAAACTATGTGTTAAGAGTAAACCAAGGAAAGATGCAGAGGTGATCTGCAACCAATCAGTAAATGGATATTGTAGAAATTCTGCAACCAGTCACCTGATGGCAGAGAAATTCTGCAACCACTCAGTCACTAGATGTCACAGAAATTCTGCGACCACTCAGCCACTAGATGTTGCAGAAATTCTGCAACCACTCAGTCACTAGATGTCGCAGAAATTCTGCGACCACTCAACCACTAGATGTTGCAGAAATTCTGCAACCACTAAGTTACTAGATGTCGCAGAAATTCTGCAACCTCTCAGTCACTAGATGTCACAGAAATTCTGCGATCACTCAGTACCATGTTGTCGCAGAAATTCTGCAACCACTCAACCACTGGATGTTACAAAAATTCTGTGATCACCCAGTCATAAGGTGTTACAGAAATTCTGCAACCACTCAACGACTGGATGTCGCAGAAATTCTGCGATCACTCAGTCACAAGTTGTCAAAGAAATTCTGCAACCATTCAACCACTGGATGTCGCCGAAATTCTGCGATCATTCGCAGTCACAAGTTGTCACAGAAATTTTGTGATCAGCCACTGGATGTCACAGAAATTCTGGAAACCCTCATCTAGTGATGAATACAGCCATTTAGCAATCTTACTAATACCAGTCAATAAAAAATTCCACAACATTTGGTCAGTGATCCTTAATCTAACAAATGGCGCAAGCCACACAATTAAAGAGGTGGAATCTACATATATTTTGTAATTATACTCATCTGTTAAGAAAGTAAGAAATACAATAAACAGTTCAAGTCACATCCCTTTATTGCATGATCAGATAAATGAAATGAAAAAATGTAATAAATCGAATGACATAAAAGTTTGAGATCTATCAAACAAACAATTTGGTTCCACTTTAAAAGAGGAAACTAATATACTGTCATTCCTTTGAACTATTTTTAAAAAAATATGTAAAAAATATAACTATTAAAAAATGTCTTACTTCTTAATGTTGCATTTGCCGTACCCTGTAATGAAAGGCCTTAAGGCCTAGTGGACGGAGAGTTAAGTTACAATAAATCCATGCTACATTTTGGTAGTTTCAATCCCCGGTGGCTTAGAAAATTCGACATCGAAGGAAGACATTGTTGGTTTCTGAGTAAACCGAAATTTCTTATTATTTTTATATACATATATATTTGCTACCTACGGCCTCGAGATGAGAGACTCGGGTTGAAAGCGATTGCTGACTAACCATCCATATATAAATTTATCAGTTTTCCTCAAAGACAGTAGTATCTGCATACGACTCCATCTCTTAGAGACTTCAGATCATCAAGATAGACAGATAGATAGATAGATAGTTTATTAATAACCGATTTGCAACCAAAAGTTGATTTATACGATTATTTACAAGTTTCAAACATTGATAATTACGTTAGACTAAATGTATTAAAACAGCAATGAGAACACTAAATTATGTTCTAAAAAAAAACGGTTGTATAAAACCGTTCAAGCCTTAAAGGCATTGAAGGTAACAAAACTATTACGAAACCTGTTCGTCTTAAAGCTGGCTTAAACTTCCGCATATTTCTTAGGTTAAAGGTACATGTNACGTTTCCTGTTTGAGCGTATTTCCACGGAACATTAAATACTTTTACCGCGGGAGGCTGCATTAACTGAGAGTATTCGACACCAACCGAGCCTGGTGCTTACCGTGGTAAATATTTCCGCTGGTAACTATCCGTGGATGTTTCAGAGAGATCAAAGGAAGCGAGGCGGTTTTTCTTGTTTTGCTTTCGTTCACAGGTTTCGTTCACCCCATTTCTCGCCTCTAAATTTTGTTTTAATAACCAGAAGAGGCATGTAGGCGCTGTCGAGCACGGTATACTTTAATAGTAGACTTAGGTTTGATTCTCTGCGGGATGATCTACTGAAAATGTCATTTACTTTTGTGTGTTTAGTCGCACCGGTAATTGTCAGATGAAGAAAAGAAATGAAACACTTTTCTTGCTTGAGAATAAACGTAAAGAGAGACCGGCACGGACTCCCCATGAGGCTTTCGTGGTCGCATCACATTATCGCCTTCAAATTATATTTTTGCTCTCACAAGCATATCTTTTTAGGGATTTTCCCTTTTTTGTCTCCTTCTTATAACGTATAGTAACAGTCGTCGCAAAACCCACCAATGGCTCAAATTCGCCATTTAGTGCCACGGAAACGACAATACACAGCAAGTGAGGTAGGTTTACATTTGTTTTGAGCTTTAACTCAGACATTTCATGATATAAGTTTACGATAATAAGACTCTTCAATATTCTCCCATACATTCCTTTATATTTCGAATAAACAACCAGACTCGTCGCTTGTCTGGGCCCCCWGTGAAGGTAAGCATTCGTGACCTTTTGGCTGTTGTGTCTGTGAAAGGGCCACTGGATTGTTTACCCCTAACAAAGACCTTCTTTTATGTTTTCTGGGTACCCTCATGCTTTGAGGCGTTGTTTTAATTTCAAAAGGCCCTCTTCAAATGCTTTTTTGAAGAGTTAGTTCTAAGCAATCTTAGTTCTTCGCCTTTTAAAAACATATTTTACGCCTAATGGGTGGCACGAGGCGAAGTGCGTAAATTGGAAGGTCTCGGTCGGCTTGTAATGGGTTTTGATGTAAAAACTGGGATCTTTGGCGAATCTTTCCCCTTTAAACTGTAACCGTTCTCAAGATTGGAAGGAAAACGACGATTTGATACCAAAATTTAAAATTCATAACGTGGACAAGACCTCACAGTTAGAACACAAAAAGAACAGAAAGTGTCAAAGCAGCTTTTAAGTTGCGTCGACTGGTTCTCACAGGAAATTTTCACAGGAAATGTCATCTTCTTAAATTAATCTGAAGGTGCAAAAAGCTTTGACGGAAATGCAGTTCATCGCGACTCTTTTCACCACTTCTTTTATCGTTCCCTCAGTTCTAAAAGAAAGGCAATGATAATTCGCGATAAGAGGTCTTCAGGTCTTCAGGACTGTACCCCAGAACTGTTCTTTTAAACGAACAACAAAGTGGTCTGGCAAAGTTGCCACTTTACGGGGAAGCCTTTTTAACCATAAGTGAGGCAGGGGAGCAGTGCGAGGTAAGATAAAAATCTAGGTGAGACTCTCCCGCTACCGTTTGATTATCGAGTGATCTTGTGAGCATAAGACGTTATATTTCTTTTCGCCTTCCTTTATTTTAATTTTCCGAAAAGTTTCATCTTAGCCAGGAAATGTTATAAGAGTAGTTAAATGAACTTAATATGAACATTTACTTCATTTTTATGTTAAAAAATCAAGTTACGTTCCAGTTAGGCTGAAAACGGCACGGAAAAATCGCCTTAAACGAATACAAGCAGGATTTTACTACAATCCTAATCAAATCCTGTTATTTGTGGATAACTTTTGAGTTGTTTGTATTTACTTATTACGACTCGAATTTTTCTCTTCACAGAATGCTGATGATGTCATTAGTACCGACTGTTTCCCGCATTAATTTCTGTAAGCTCACATCATTCAGCGTTGTCTTATTTACAATGGTCGAGGGTGTGAAAAATTTCAAAAGAAAAAATGTTAAAAGAGGGCGCTACACTGGCACAACATAGCTACTTTTACTTCCCAAATAACCTCAAACTGCAGTGCAAGGTAAGATACTTCTAGAATTAAACAACTGTCCTCGGAAAAAAGTTTGAAAAACCTCACAGTCAACAGAATAGATATATTTGATTTACTTGTGGAGTTTACTATAATCCAGGGGTTTCAATAAAAGCTGGTTACCAGCGGTATACCGTCGCCTGTAGGACCTCGGGGCCGTCGTCTGTTTGGATTTCATTCATGAAAATAAAAAGTGATTTTAGTGGTCAGAGCCGCCTTCAGTGGCCGCTTATAACTAATGTTATTGAAACCCCTGTAATCTGAACTTGTTTTAAACTCTCTCCTTGAGAGCATATTACATGCACAATTTAAAATAAGGTTTGGTCAATTAAAACGTTCCAGCACTTTTTAGGTCGTTATTTACAACAAGCCTTGGAAACCTTTGTTGTTGGACACTGGTCTGTCTCAAGGCAAATGCCGCGGACTTCGAGACAGTCGTCCGCCGGTGGAGAAAATTTGATTTTCTTGAATAAAGAAAGTTCATTCTCAGCACAAGGCTACACATGGCTTGTGGAAAACCTCTCCAGTGAGGGGGACGTGGTTATTGACGCAGGAACCCCCAATGACTAAGCAATGGTGGCTGCGTTGAGGAAAGGGCGAAGCGCGGTTAGGATAGACAGTACCGCTTTGCCGTCCAAACAGACAGCAATAGAGACTAAAATTTGTAGTCTTGTATCTTCATAGTTTATATCTCAATGACAATAAACTAGTTAAAGTAAAAAATTCAATTGACAAAGTTTATGTTAGATACAATGGATATATGAAGTTCATATATTTTGAACTGCGGTATTAAATACGTATGATGCACGATCTTCGCAGTAGATAGCGCTATTTATGCAATAGCATAATTTTCGCTATTGCATAAATAGCGCTATCTACTGCGAAGGATCGTGCATCATACGTAAAGTTTATGTTACCAAAAACAATTTTGGAGAAAAGGAATGTTGATTTTATTTCACCCAATACGCCTCACGCAATTCAACAATGGTGCTGTATTTTGTAGCCAATATGTTGAGCTGACAAGAAACGTCATTTTTGTTACTGTAAGTCTCATTTGTAAGCAGAAATACCTACTCATTTAAGTTATGGGTCCCGTTGGGAGCCTTTAGATTCCAACCGTGAGGTTCAATTCACTTGTTTTATTTAAAAGCATGCAAAAAGCGTGAGGATGAACAGTATTGTTGATTTAATCTCGTATATAGAAAAATATTCAAAAACTGAAGTTGAAAATGACGGTATAGATTAGGACCCTTGAAATTTCCTATCTGAAACTATCGTAGAATTTCTACAACGCTAAACGTAACATCGTGCAGAATTTCTGCAGCACTTGACGGTACATCTGCAGTATTTCTGCAGCACTTGACGTTACATCGTGTAGAATTTCTGCAACACTTGACAATACATCGTTCAGAATTTCTGCAGCACTTGACGTTACATCATGCAGAATTTCTGTAACGCTTAACGTTACATCGTTCAGAGTTTCTGCAGCACTTGACGTTACATCGTGCTGAATTTTTGCAACACTCGACGTTACATCATGTAGAATTTCTGACGCACTTGATGGTACATCATGCAGAATTTCTGCAGCACTTGACGTTACATGGTACAGGATTTCTGCAGCACTTGACGTTACATAGTGCAGAATTTCTGCGAAACTTGACGTTACATCGTGCAGAATTTCCGCAACAGTTGACGTTACATCGTGCAGAATTTCTGCAGCAGTTGACGTTACATAGTGTAGAATTTCTGCAGCACTTAACTGCGCTACATCGTGCAGAATTACTGCAGCACTTGACGTTACATCGTGTAGAATTTCAGTAGCGCTTGACCTTACATCGCGCAGAATTTCTGCAGCACTTGATGTTATCCAATGCAGAATTTTAAATAAACCAGGTTAGCAGTTTTTTTTTAAATATTGTGTTAAAATTATAGACTTTATTATTCACGTATTAGACGTTCAGAGAATTTTGGGCACTTTGACCACATTTAACAAACCATGCAGTGAAAAATGGTCGGAATATTTGTTTGGGTACAATGTTTTCACATTTAACAGTCCGTTGAATTAAACAAAGTTTTGCTCTTTTGAAACGACTCTTTTCCTTCCACCGTGAAAATCGAAGTATTTCTGGTGCTATCATTTAGGAGACATTTCCGTGCTTTCTGCCAAAATAGTGCCATTTTGAGGTCACCCTTCCTCCAGGTCTATTCAAAAAGTTGTTATTCGACGTACAATTGCGGAATTGACACTAAATTTACTCTTAAATAAGCCATTTTTGGCGGAAAACGCTATTTTGGAAAACACAAAATAGTTTGGAAAGCGTTAATAATTTTGAACGACGTTTCGACCTCGCTGAGGTCATTTTCAAGCTGATGAACTCG